GGGAAACCTCCGGGATACACCCGGGACATCCCCGGGACACCCCTGGGAAACCTCCGGGATACACCCAGGACATCCCCCGGACACTGCTGGGAAACCCCCAGCACACTCCCGGGACACTCCCGGGACACCTCTGGGACACACTGGAGACACTTCTGGGACACACCCGGGAAACCCCTCGGACACAGCCGGGAAACCTCCGGGATACAACCAGGACATCCCCAGGACACTGCTGGGAAACCTCTGGGACACCCCTGGGAAAACCCCAGGACACTCCTGGGACACTCTCGGGACACCTCTGGGACACACTGGAGACACCTCCGGGACACACCCGGGACACCCCTCGGGCACATCTGGGAAACCTCTGGAACATCCCTGAGACACCCCCGGGGCACACCCGGGACGCCCCTCGGGCACATCTGGGAAACCTCCGGGATACACCCGGGACATCCCCGGGACACTGCTGGGAAACCTCTGGGACACCCCTGGGAAACCTCCGGGATGCACCCAGGACATCCCCAGGACACCCCCGGGACACCCCTCGGACACAGCCGGGAAACCTCCGGGATACACCCAGGACACTCCCGGGACACGCCTGGGAAACCTCTGGGACACCCCTGGGAAAACCCCAGCACACTCCTGGGACACTCCCGGGACACCTCTGGGACACACTGGTGACACCTCTGGGACACACTCGGGACACCCCTCGGGCACATCTGGGAAACCTCTGGAACATCCCTGGGACACCCTGGGACACACCCGGGAAACCTCCAGGAAACCCCCGGGACACAGGGACACAACCAGGAAATCCCTGGGACACCCCGGGAAACCTCCAGGACATCCCTGGGACAATGCCGGGAAACCTCCGGGACACACCCGAGACACCCCTGGGAAACTCCCGGGACACCTCTGGGACACTTCCAGGACACCCCTCGGACACATCTGGGAAACCTCTGGAACATCCCTGGGACACCCCTGGGACACCCCCGGGAAAAGTCCGGGACATCCCCGGGACACATCCGGGGCATCCTCGGGACACTGCCCGGAAACCTCCGGGACACACCCGGGACACCCCCAGGAAAACCTCGGGAGCCCCCGGGAGACCCCTGGGACACCCAGGCACGGCGGCTTTGCCATCCTGGCACCCAGGGGGAACGTCTGGGGCTTCACTTCATTTCCCC